TTAACATAAAGAAAACACTCCCATCCCAGAACAACCAACATATAAACCCTCCCTAAGGGCCGGCCCGGTGGCGCGCTGCTACAGTGCACCGCTTGGGAGTGCAGAGGCGCTCCCACCGAGGGTTCAGATCCCACATACAGACCGGTTCCCGCTCACTGGCTGAGCGAGGTGTGGGCGCGGCACCGAGGGGTGCGATCCCTTTGCCGGTCTCGGTCCGGTACGGGCGCGACACTGAGGGTTGCGATCCGTTGCCGGACACGAAAAAAGACAAAAACAAGGAAAAAATATAAATAAATAAACCCTTCCCTAAGAATTCATGAAGCGGTCCTCATTCCGTACATCTTCTGTTTGAACTTTCACTTTGCAATAAACTTTGACTGTGAGTATGACTCTGCCATGTCAACTTGGAGTTATTGTGGATTCCTGATGGGATCTTTCCCTCAGGAAATCCAAGAACCTGCATCTTCGACATCAAAGTGCTTGTTTATATATACATGTGGTAAAAGAAGTTACACTTCTTAAGGACTGTTATTATTAATTATTTGTCTTTGATTCCCCAAAGCCTGGAAAGATATCTAGCAAATAGGAGATTTCACCTCTGTATGTCTGCAAAATAAATAAAAGCCCAATAAATTAATGAATTAAGAAAATGCATGGATTAAATATACATATTAAAAAATAGTAGGCTTCTTCCCTCCCTTTTTAATATATCCCATTTTGAGATACTCATAGCATCTTTCTAACACCCTCACATGAGTCTTCTTGATGGTTTGTCTGGATGTTACCTCTCCATTTTGTCACTCACTCTGTGACCATCTACTTATTCCCATCATACCAAGGGGTGGTAAGAGTGGGAGAAAAAAGGGAGATAAAACTTTGTAAGGTAGGAGAGCATATTCACTCCTTTGAAGGCTGTCAGACAAAATATAAGCTGCTCAGTTAAATTTGAACTTCGGATAAATGACACATAACATTTCAGTATACAAGTATCTTAAATATTTCAAGGGTCATACTTATACTAAAAAATGTGTTGTTTACCAAAAATTCAAATCTAGTTAGCCATTTTTATGTTCTGAATCAGGCAACTGTGTGTTTGAGTTATGTTTTCTCTCTTCTCCCCATGATGTGATTGACGTCATGAGAAGGTATGTGCAGAAGGCCAGGTATGGTATGGTCCTATTTGTGTGAAGAGATGATTATAGTCATGTGAGTTAGCTTTGGATCAATCAGAAAAAATTAAAAGTCACACACCTGGGAAATTTATGTATTAAATTTTCTCAAATCACTGATTGCATATGAAGGTTTTCAATGGTAGGAAATTTAGGTGGTGGTAGGTCACAGAGTTAGGATCAATAGAGGCATCAGGAAAAAGAAGTTGCAGTATCAGAACCCCATGACTTCACTAATTTTATTCTAACCTCTGTCTCTGCCTCAGCTGTTGTTTCCATGTTTCGTAGATGCCTGTCTTATTACAGAAAGGTCCTATTTTCTTTATATGCCAGACTCTAGATTTTCCACAGGAATAGCTCCTTTGTATTTGCTTTTCTTTCTGGGAATACAAAAAAAAAAAAAAAGTTCTTTCCAGGTGGCTCTTTTTAGATTTCAGAAAAATAGGATCAAGTCTTGGTGAATCATGGCTTTGGTCCTGGTGCCATTATAATCTCTTCTTACTCACATATTTCAGCATCTTGTAGGGAAAGCAGTGTTGTGTCTAAAGTAGCTCACCCACCTGTCAGCATCAAGGTTTTCCCAAACATATGAAATTCAAACCACTATTAATTTGGTCATCTTAATTTATCCTTTCCCTAGAGAACTTGAACCCTCAGATGATACTCTCTGGATATTGTACTGGGAAAACAGGCTCTGGAAACTGAAGGGTGTCCTTTCAGTACAGGAGCCCGCAGGTGATACTCCTCAACTCCTCAAGCAGCTAGATTCTGCAACCTCTCTGCTGACAGTTTTCCTGGGAACTCATACCTGTGGCCTTCCCTGGTGACCCACTGAAATAGCAATGACTTTTCCATCTATTAAATACTTTTTTTAGAGGCATCACATACCTTCTAAATGCACCATTATTTTATAGAACTTTATATTATTTAAAATGGATAGAGAGCATGGGGTTAATTATTCCTTTTTTATTGGTTTTGAATATTCATGAGATACAAAGCTGATTGTCACTCCTTGTGCTTATGATGTCGGGGCCAGGTTCATACTGGCAGCATACCCATTACCACAAATTGCATTTGTACCCCGTATCCCCCACCCAATTATTCCCAGCCTCCCTGTCCCTCCTCCTTTCCCCCCAACTTCACTTTGTAGCCCAAGGAATGTTCTCTCCCTCTGCAAGTCCAATGCACTACTGTGGTCTTTCCTTCCTTCTTTCTCTCTTAGCTCCTACGTTTAGAAGAAAGCAAGTAAACTTCTTAGAGGTGAATACCTTACCAAGGTCACACAGAGGGTGAGTGAGTAGACAGGTAAACATGAGCACATTTCTTCTGACTGTAGTGTCAGGTCTCTTGCCTCTACTCTTCTCAGGAAAGGGGGTCCAAGTGCATTGGTGGGGTATTAGGTAAAGGAGATAGTGATCTTGGAGAGATTTGAGGTCAAAGGTGTGGGGGCAATTAATTTTTGTCATCCCTAGGAGTGAGAGTTGGACCTTGAAGAAACCAAAAGCTGCTTCCAAGAAACCAAAGCGTGTGTTCCGAGCTCCAGACCTGCTGCAAGATTTTAAAGGTTAGGGATCCAGGGGAAGAGTGTGTGTGTGGAATTTTTGTAGTATTATGTTTCAGTAGGGGAGTGGGTGTCATTTCTAGGTAAGAATAGAGGAAAGGAGGTAGGCCAGAGAAGGAGAGAAATCCTGTGCTGAAGATGTGGGCATATCTACGGGGGAATGGCCAGGTGTCTGTTTCATCCTCTCATTCACCAGTGCATAGCTTCACAGTGCTCCCTTTTTCTGACCTTACTCTAGAGGGGAGACAGGTATCAGTGCTTACTGCTTTCCTTCTAACAACAAATTATTGTCATTTCAGAGCTGACAGATGTCCAGAGCTATTGGGGTAAGAAGAAATTAAAGTCTTCAAATCATCTTTCGATCCCTTTTCAGAAGTGTTGGTTACTTTTAGTTCTCTTGATCTGAGCCCCATGTGTTTCTCCCCAAACACGCACACATACTGCATTTCTTAAGTGTTCTACTCATCTCTGGCTCAGCAATACAAGTTTCTCCCACTCAGTTCCCAGTATTCCTCCTCATGATGTCACAAGACACACTTATCCCATATCCCTCACCTGACTCTGTAATTTTTCCCACAGTGGACGTGATGCTGAATCCAGTCAACGCTATTTCGAATGTTGTCATTTCTGCAGACCAGAGACAAGTGATGGTTGTGCACGCTTGCACATTTAAGAATTCAAATCCACATGATTTTTCTGCTTTTGGTGTCTTTGGCTGCCAATATTTCTCCTCAGGGAAATATTACTGGGAAGTAGATGTGTCTGGGAAGATTGCCTGGATGCTGGGGGTACACAGTAAGATAAGTAGCCCCAACAAAAGAGCAAGCTGTGGGTTTGTTTATGATCCAGATGCAAATCATCAAAATGTTTACTCCAGATACAGACCTCAATACGGCTACTGGGTAATAGGGTTACGAAATAAAGTTGAGTATAATGCCTTTGAGGATTGTTCCCCCTCTGATGCCAGGTTTCTGACTCTCTCCATGGCTGTGCCCCCTCATCGTGTTGGGGTTTTCCTAGACTGTGAAGCAGGCACTGTTTCATTTTTCAATGTCACGGACCATGGGTCACTCATCTACAAGTTCTCTGATTGTTGCTTTTCTCATCCTGCTTATCCATATTTCAATCCTTGGAACTGTCCAGCCCCCATGACTCTGTGCCCACCAAGCTCCTGAACTTTCTTGTTCCCTCATGCACTTCTGTGTAGTGCCCCTAGTCCTGAGGCTCAGATCCTGCCTCTGAGTTCATTTGCACCATTCTGACTGCCTCTTCCTTTCCTTCTTTTTCTTTTGTTGAGAATGTCTTTGTATTAGTTGTCTCTGGCTGCCATAAAAAATGTACAACAGACTGCTGATTTATACAACAGAAATTTATTATCTCATGGTCCTGGGAGCTAGAAGTCCAAAATCAAGGTGTCAACAGAATTGGTTCCTTCTGGCAGCTGTGAGGGAAGGATCTGGTCCATGCCTCTTTCCTTGGCTCCTAGATGCCCTCTTCTCCTTATGTCTCTTCACATCGTCTGTCCTCTGTTCTTGTCTTTATGTCCAAAGCTCCCCTTTTTGTAAAGACACCACTCATATTGGATCAGGGCCCACCCTCATTAACTTGATATCTTCCACAAAGACCCTATTTCCAAATAAGGTCATATTTTGAGGTTAGCACTTCAACATATGAATTTGAGGATAAAATTCATCTCATAATAGCCTTTTACTCTTCCCCACTGTATAATGATGCCTTATGCTGTAATTTTCCTAGTATATTATTTTTTTTAGAAGATAATGCCTTTTTTTTGTATTTGCAAGGGAAACATATGTAATCCCTCCTACAAAAAGAACAGTATTTCTATAACTCCTTTGCCATCTCCTTTCTTCCTTATTCGCTTTGCCACTTAACAGATTTGGCAAAGGAAAACTTGTCAACCCATATTTATGTTAAGTAGGAAAGTGCATAGGAATCTGTTGCTAAATAGTGAATCCTTCAGAGTGTGTTGATTTTCCAGTGATACCCCATATTCATCAGAGAGTTAAAACAGGAAATTCATAAATGATATATTTATCTAGAGTGGATTTTTGGTGCTTAGAGTTTCTGAGGTCAAATCTTATTTCTTCATTTACAAGCTCTATAACTTTCAATAATTTACTTAATGTCTATTGGTCTCATTTTCCTAAAATAAAAATAAGAAACAATATTAAGTTCAATATTGTACTTAATTCCTAGGATCACTTTGAGAAACAAAATTTTGTTAAATGTAAAGCACTTTTCTAAGAAACTTAAATACAAAAATAAATATTTGTTCTCATTATTACTAAAAAAAATGTAAGCTGTTCCAGTGTCCCAGGGAGCAAGTTTTTTGTTTTGTTTTCTATTTGCTTCAATAAAACAATAGTTGGTTTTACTGAAGTCTCATTTTTCGGGGTCCTAAATCCTGCTGCAGACAGTATGAGTTTCCATAATGCATCCAGTAGAGAATGCTATGTCTAGGCTTAGTATTCATTAAGAGGGACATTAAGAGGGACACCCTTTTGGTGTTCAGACCTTTTCCTTGCAGTAAAACATTTGAGCGTGCCACTGTATTTATCATCCTATGCACTTTTCTTGTTTTTTTAGGAAAGCATTTTTTCAAACACAAGATGACGAATAGAACTACTTAGGATAGGGCCGGCCCGTGGCTCACTCGGTAGAGTGCGGTGCTGGTAACACCAAGGCCACGGGTTCGGATCCCACATAGGGATGGCCGGTTCGCTCACTGGCTGAGCGTGGTGCTGACAACACCAAGTCAAGGGTTAAGATCCCCTTACCGGTCATCTTAAAAAAAAAAAGAAAAAAAGAAAAAAAGAACTACTTAGGATAGCAAAGACATAAACGCTATTCGTAGAGAAGTATGCTGTGTTAGCTGGGGTTCTCCAGAGAAAGAAAACCAGTAAGAGATGTACATTTACTATGAGGAATTGGCTCATGTGACTATGAAGGCTGAGACTTCCTGTGATTTGCCATTTGCAAATTGAAGACCCGGAAAACTGGTAGTATAATGTAGTCTGTGTTTGAAAGCCTGAGAACCAGGGAGCTGATGGTGTAAATCCCAGTCCAAAGTCATTAGAAGATGAAATGAGATGTCCCAGCTTAAGAAGCAAGGCAGGGGAAAGGGGCAAATTCCTCCTGCCTTTTGTTCTATCTAGGTCTTCAATGAATTGGATGATACCCAGCCACATTGGGGAGGGAAATCTATATTACTCAGTTCAGTGATTCAAATGCTAATCTCATTTGGAACCAACCCAGAAAAAAAATGTTTAATCTGACCATCCTGTGGCTAGTCAAGTTTTAACTTGAAATTAGCCATCATATATATGTTATCAGTCGGGACAGATTATGCCACTATACAGAATTCACATGAAGATCTGTAGAAATTTAGAGGAAGAAGAGTAGTGTATCTTGGTCATGCTGGTGGTAAAAAAAAAAAAAAAAAAGGTGCCTGGCTTGGGATTGATGTATACATTTATACACACTCATACACACATGGGTATATATAGGTATATATACATATAATACTATGTATAAATATAGGAACATATGTAAACATTATCCCAGTTAATCTGTACAAATATTATAAGATGGAGAAATTTAAATGAGGAGGTTAATAGCGTTTATAAACTGTTAAGAGTTTTTCTCTCGGGTGCCAAGGTTAATGAGAGGGACAGGCAGTACTAAGTCCAGGTCTGTGTTACTCCAGCACCTGTGCTCACTCCTCTGCACCATCCCACCATGGAGAAGCCAGCAGCCAGGTTCCCAGGGAATTGGGGGCAGAAGGGAGAATCCAGGAAATAATGATCTGCAGGAGGAGCCTGGTGCCTCTTAAGGAAACCCTTAGATGCCTAAGGTGTAAATTTATATGCTGAATCCATGTAGCCATAAACAAGGGAGGAGCAGGTCATGCTAATGGATAATATTATGTTGAATCACTTCATGACCAGCATGTTATTACAGATGACATGAAAAAAATGTCTCCTTCCTTGAATGTACAGGGTGGACATTGTTATATGGTTAAAAGCTGAACTCTGAGAATAGACATAATTTTGTATAATGATATAGCTACTTAGTGTTCCTTATCAGATTAACTAATTAACATGTGATTCAATTTCTTACTTGTACAATAAATAAAATTAATAAAACTGTTAGAGATATTGTCAGAATTAAATAATAGAATATTTGTAATAGTTTCAGCTATTTCTTACCATATAAGCACTGACACAGAGTGGTGTTGATTATTTTTTTTTTCATGGCTTCTTTTCTCTGACTTGAAAAAAATGATTTTAAAAGTGCACATTAATTTACTTTAAAAAATAATTAACTTTGTTTCAAGAAAGAAAAATTTGAGTCAAGAATCAGAGTCCTTAAAATATTTTTAGCCAATTATAAAATAAATATTACATCATTGTAACGTACTTTTGTTCTCATCATCTTATTAGCCACCTAACATTATTGTATAATTGTAATAACTTCTCTGATCTAACTCTGCAGTCTAAATAAGAGTTAGATTTGTTTTCTATTGCTGTGTAACAAATGATCACAAATTTAATGGCTTAAAAGAAGATTTATCTCACAGTTTCTGTAGATCAGAAGTGTGGACCTAGCTTAGATGGAATCTCTCTTTCACAATGTCAAGGGCATGAACTCAAGGCACCACTCAGAATGTTTTCACCTGAAAGTTAGAGTAGGGAAGGGTCTGTTTCCAGGAATAACAAGTTATTGGCAGAATTTAGTCCTTCATACTTGTAGAACTGAGGGCTTCAGCTTCTAAATGCCTGAAATTTCTTGTTACTTGGGCCTCTTCATAGGCAGTTCACACAATGTCTGTTGCTTCTTCAAGGCCAGCAGGAGAAGAAGAGCTGTTCTAGCAAGACAGTCTTATATGATGTAACATAGTCACAGTAATGACATCCCATCACCTTTGTCACATACTATTGGTTATAAGTAATTCAGAAGTTCTGCCCACTCTCAAGGAGAAGGAATTGCACAAAGGAATAAACAACAGGACATGGGAATCAGTGAAGGTCTGCTCACCACAGAGGAATTTGGAGAAAGCTAGGGAAACAGTTCCCTAGCAACTGCCTAGTGCCCTCTACCAACAGGAATGGTCAGTGGGCTTCTGCAAGCTGAATAACTCTAGAAGGTCCCTTGCCCAGATAAATGCCCTGCAGCGCAGAAAGTCTTTGAAACTCCAGAAGGAAAATAAATAAATAAATAAATAGTATAGAGCCCTTTGATATGACTTTGCCTAGGAGCCCTAAACAGCTTTAGATTCATTATATCTCCTTCAGAGGTAAGCTTGCTATAGTTAGTAAGCAGGAGTAGCATAGTGTGGGGCACCTTACTACCAACTCTCTTCTTTAGAGTGCCCTGATAGCAGTTGCAGCCACAATAACAGAATGCAAGTGACAGCAGCAGTAGCCACACTTTTAAGGGCACTGCCAGGAAAGCCTGGGGGAAGCCTGGGCTCAGCTTGATCCCACCTGCCCCATTCAGTCCTCAGAAGTCCCAGATATTGTCCATCTGGGCCACTGTTCCATCCAGCTCTCCAATCCCTCCATCCGTCCTGAAAACATGTGTCCAAATTCTGACAGGTGGCTCTTCTAACTCATTCAGGGTTCTGCTCCCCCTGCCCTTCCCTGCGGACCTGGCGGTGAGTCGAACGGCCCTTCTGGCTTTTGCCCAGACTCTGCTTTTAGAAATAAACAAGACTAGAACAAACAGATTTCCTTCTGTTTCCAGGAGGGACCAGAGGCTCTATGCCAAGGTTAGTGTTCAATGGGAGAAATCACACTTTTCAACTAAACATGGAGACTAAACTAAATTTTCCTCCACCCCAGAGCAAAGATATATGTGACAAATTATCTAATAAATCAGCAAGAGGACAGCCCTTATAAATTCACACACCATCTTAGACTGAGCCTACACACATGGGTCACTACCTGTCAGAAGATACTGAAATGGCATGGAAAAGATGTCCTACCTGCAGACCCTGATGGAGGCTAAAGACACTCCATCAAAAGGCCTGGAGATTTCTCCAGTAGATCACATTGGTTCACATGTCCCATCCATAGTGTTTAGCTGGATCCTGACTGCAGTAGACATTTTTTCCTAGGTTTAATTTATTCATCTCTGTGCATTCCACTGACTC